CTCTCCAGAGCCCTTAAAGGGGTTGACTCTGTCCACAGTGCCTGTGCCAGCTCCAATCCTGCCAGCCCAGAGCCAGCAGTCACTGACCTGACCCAGTGACCCCAAAACATGAGCCAGCAAGCCACTGGCAGCCAGCCCTCCATCGCTCTCCAGGAGCAGTCTGCCAGCTCCCAGGCGCCTGCCAGGGCCCGGAGAAGGTAGGAGCCTTCCCGGTCCAGGGCGGAGATCATGGACCTTATTCAGGCTTGGGGGGATGCCCCCAACATCCAGGATCTCCGCACTAGACAGAGGAATGCGGCCATCTATGGTAGGATAGCTGCCAGCCTGGCCACCAAAGGCCACATGCGAACCCAGGAGCAGGTTTGCATGAAAATCAAGTTGGTCCAGTGAGATCCCCAACCCTGAGCTTCCCCTCCCCCTTCTTCCCCTTGCTTCCCCCTTCCAGCTCCCTCATCTCAGGTTTCCCCCTCCCCTTTCCCACCCTCTCTTCTCCCCTCTTCCACCTCCTTTCCCCAGTCTCACCAGAATTTCATTCCCACCCCTCCACCAGTTTTGTTAAAAAAAAAGAGAGTTTGTGTTCTTGAAAATACATGTATTTTATTTTACATCAGGAAGGGGGGCTAGGGAGGGGTAAGTGGAAAACATGAAGGGAGGAATGAGGCACAAGCCCCCTATGGGGCAGACCAGGGAGGCTCTTTGTTCTCCTCAGGGTGGAAGCTCTGCAGGGCCTCCTGGATACTGACAGCCCCCCAATGAACCTCCCGGATGGCAGCCTGCCGAAAGTGCAGCCAGGCTCACAGCAACGTGTCCACGAGAAGTACCAGAGTGCCCAGGGGCAGCTCTGGCTCCATGCTGCAGAGTGCTGTGGTGTCCCGAGCGAGGGAAACCAGAATCTAAATGATTTGCTGTCCCTCATCGAGGTAGGAAAACAAGCAGGGAAAGCTGATAACCAGCTGTCTGGGGGGGTCCCTTTAAGCACAGGCCTCAGATAGCCTCAGGCAGAAGCCACACACAGTAACTCCTGACCTGATGCCCTACCAGCCCTGGTTCTGGCTGGCCTTAAATGCGATTCAGCGTCCACTTAGTATGGACGCGCTATTTCGAAATGCATTTTGTGTGTAGACGCATTATTTCGAAATAAGCCATTTCGAAATAACTCTGTAGTGTAGACATACCCTGAGTGATTAATTTTGCAACTTTCGTGTTACATTGACATAATCCTTTCCTGCAACAGATAATATTATCTGGATGAATACAGCTGCATAGGCATGGCAATGCAGCACCTGAATGCCTTGAAATTAGAAGCAGCTTTTAGGTATATTTCAGTGTTATTAATAAATACAATACAAAATATAATATATATTTTAAACTAGATCATCTACCCAGCATTTCTTGGGTGCTTACCGAGGGGCTCAGGGCAAGAGGCTGGGAGTGTGCCAGCTCTGTGCAGGTGGGTGTAAGACAAGAGACTGTGCTAGTGCGTGTGCATGTGCATGTACAAAGCACCTCCCACCTCAATTCATACCAGGGCTACTTGCTCTTCCCCTTCCTGTGCCTGTCAGGGAGCAAGAGCAAGGTGCACAGCTTGTCTCCCCTCCCTCTCCCCCCCGCCCCCCGGACTCCCCAGCCAGAGTGAGGAATGCAGCTAACTGAGCACTTTCCCCTGGCTCCCTGATGAAGGGAAACGACCAGCAATATTCCTGTAAGAATCGGGTGGGAGGGATTCAGCTGCCCCCGCCCTCCTTAAAAAATGATTGGGGGGGGTGAGAGAATTGGGGTTGGGACAACAGACAAACTCTCTCAAATATATAAGATTATCACCAATACTTATTGAAAAATACAGGCTGGTATTTTCAAATGACTCTAAGAGACTAACCCTCATGGAAACTGTACGTGATTTAGTTGCCTAACTCCCTGAGGTGCCTTTGAAAATTCCATTCACAGTATTTTTTATTTTTAGGCATGTATCTTGAAATCTCTATTCAACATTTACTAATTCCATTTCTGAGGCTAAACTGCCAGACTTTGGTAACTGAGAAATTCAGAGTACAACGCATTAAAAAGCTCCATCATTGCATTAAGGGTATACCAGCAAGTCTTCCTTCAGTAACTTCTAAAGTACAGGCAGTCCCCGAGTTACGCGGATCCGACTTATGTCGGATCCGCACTTACGAACGGGGCTCTCTTGCCCCGGAGCTCGCAGGCAGCGATCTGAATCTGGACTCCAGTTCCGACTTACATACAGATTCAACTTAAGAACAAACCTACAGTCCCTATCTTGTACATAACCCGGGGACTGCCTGTAACTGAAACTGACATGATTATATTGTGATTTATAAAAAATAAAATATGAAGAATTTTAAAATGTCATGTACAGATATTTTAATTTGTTGGTGTGTAATTCTTCCAGAAGTAAGAGATTTCTCCTTTAGGAAGAACATTTTCCATGCGCTGTCTTTTTCTGGAGGATTATTTTAAAGAGTTAGAGCAAAATATCTAGGCCACTTTTGAACTATAAGTATTTTGTTGATTTCAAAAATTGTTAGGGACTAGAAGAAAAATAGCTAATATTTGAGAATTGGCACTGAGGCATGGCTCTCTGAATATGAGACACATCCTTTCAGGGGAGGGGAGTAAGTAGGCTTGGTGCCATTCACAGATCACAAGGATTCTATAAGATCCATCTGTATTGTGGGGGGGGAGGCGGGGGGGTTAGGGTTAGGGCAGCTAGTCCGCCCCCCCCCCCCCCCAGCAGATCAGGCTTTTGTTGCGGACCCTGGGGTAGAGCAGCTGGGGTGCTGCCAGGTTGGTCCTGCAGGGACCTACCTGGCAGCCCAGCTGTTCTCTCCCAGGCTCGAGATTCAGTCGCTGTTGAAACTGATCAGTGGCTGATTTCAGGAAGCTGGGGGCAGAGCAATTCTGCCTCCATCTTCCTGTAGTCAGCCCCTGGTCAGTTTCAGCAGCAGCGGCTGAATCTGGAGCCAGTTCCGACTTACATACAAATTCAACTTAAGAACAAACCTATAGTCCCTATCTTGTACGTAACCCAGGGACTGCCTGTATGTACACTACCAGCACACCATCATTTAGAGCTTTGCAGCAAGCAAATGTTGTACTGTATTAGCTATATCAGCACAGCCCTATTTTCATAGATGCAGTTATGCTAGTATAAAGGCATCTGAAGGGAAATAATCCTGGCATAAGGCTCCTTTATATCAAAATAAATGTATCCACACTAAAGGCTGTGCCAGTATAATTACTTTGATAAAAATACCCATGCCCCTAAGCAAAATAGTTATAGAAGTACAATTGTGTGTGGATTCCACCTCTTCTTCCTGTGCTGCATATTTTCATTTATTTTGAATTTCTCACTTTAGTTCTTTTGTTCTTCCAATATTATAATGTAAATGAAGTGCCCTGAAAAGAGGTGTTCTGTAGAAAATACGTTAGATGTGCAATTTCTTCTTCACTAATCAATAGCTAATAGCT